GCGAATCCGCGCCCTGTCCCGTCTTCCCCTGCTTTCATCGACCTTCCGCCACCTTCCGCGGAAGAGCAGAGGCCAACCCTTCGACGATCCCTCGAAGGCCAGGCCCCTTTTGGAGCCATCACTGCGGGAGCGTTTGCTTCGCGTGTCGCGCCGCAGGTTCCGGTCCACCACGCTTCGGCGCCACGCGCCAAGCGCGTCCCAGCTCCCAAGCCCGACACCAAACAATTGAGCTTTCGCCCACGAGGTGGTGCGACACGCCACCCGCTCGCAGGGCACGGCGTGTCGCGGGGGCCGCCGCCGCGACGCGCGGAGCAGCAGTTCCGGACGTCCTGCCCCGTCCGCGCACCTCCTTGTGCACCCAAAAGGAGTGCCCGCCGCGCCTCCCCCCCCGCTCCTCGGGGGCAACGACAAGGGGGGGATGGGCATGGGGTGGGGATGCATCGACAGCCAATCGCCCATTGATCGCCGACAGGGGCCCAATAGCCCCAACCTGCACGGCAAGGTGCGGACCCACTATCGGGGGACCATCGCCGACCTGTCGGCGGCGACGCATCACCGATTCCAGGTCGATGCATCCCCCCCTATGCCAGGCCCCCCCCCTGCCGTCACCCCCCCCCCACCACTCCGCGAGGAGTGCCAGAAGATGCGCAACCGCTGCAAGCCGCTCTTCGAGGCCTGCGCGGACAGGGAAGGGCGCAGGCCACGCTTCTGGCCGCCAGGGGCCCAGCATCGGCCAGCTGTCGGAAAGATGCATTGCCCGCCAGGCCGGCCCAGCCCAACCCGAAGGCCCCGAGTGGCCCTCGCTCGCAGTGGGGAGGGGGGCAACCCAGACCATTGAGAACGCACAGGCAGAAACCGCACGCCCCCCCGACCGGAATCTGGGACTTCGGGTCGGGTTGGGGTGGCCTGCGATAACCTCGAAAGGCCTTGAGTTTGGACCCCCCTCCTTTTTCACTCCGCGGTGAATAGGACTGGTCTTGAAACCTCCGCCTTCTCCTCCTCCTCCTCCTCCTCCTCCTCCTCCTCCTCCTCCTCCTCCTCCTCCTCCTGGTATCGCCACCACTACCAGGTAGACGACGATCCGGCGAGCGAAAAGCCGTGGATCGTTGTCAGGGTTGAACGATCCACGCGAGGTCGGGAACCAACCGCGGGGTCGTCACGGCACGACCCTGCCGCACACGGAAAAGCCACGACGGGTGCTTGTCCTGCATCACGGCATCTGGGGTCGCACGTTGCATCACGGTCGCCCTCGTCGCCACGGTTGGATTCCCCTCCAAAGCTGAGTGCGGAACGCACCCCAGGACAGCTCGGGGGGGACCGACCGAAGTCCAGGACCACGGCGGGCGTGCTCTTTGGACTTTGGCTCCCGGTGGCTTACCTGCAAGGGCACCGGGAGCACAAAGCAGCCCTCGAAGGAAACATGCCCACGAGATGGGGTCGAGAGCTCCTCCGAGCCGGCACCGTGAAGCCATCTCGACGTCGTCTCGTGCGTCAGCGGAGGAGGAAGGAGCAGTAGAGACGGAGAGAGAGAGAGAGAGAGAGAGAGAGAGAGAAACAAAAAAAGAGAATGGACCGATTCGCGCGGGGGGTCCGCGCAGGCGCCCAGCGGCGAGCGGCCGGCCGGAGCGAGCAGGCTAAAAGGAGGCCCTACACGCCCGTCTTGGGCGGACGGCCAGGGGAGGACGGAGAGGGTGGCGCGAGGGGGAATCCCCCTCAGCGAGCAAATGGTGGAGCTGTGACCCTGCATCGCAGTGATCCGAGCCCACAAGGTGGGCTAAGCAAGGCTTTCACGAGAGATACAGAGAAAGAGGGAGAGAGAGAGAGAGGAGAAAACCAAGAGAGGAGAGAGAGAGGGAGAGGGAGAGAGAGAGAGAGAGAGAACACCAAAAAAAGGAAAGAGAGAGAGAGAGAGGAGAACACCAAGAGAGAGAGAGAGAGAGAGAGAGAGAGAAAAAAAAAAAAAGGGAGAGAGAGAGAGAGAGAACACCCAAAAAACGAAAGCGACGCGTGCGGATGGTACTCGGAGTGCGGTGTATCGGCGCGGCGACGGTCCCGAGCCCCAGCGCCGACGTTGAAGGAGGAGCGCCGCCGGTGGCCCAGCATCCGCTGACATCGAACCATACTTGCTATCATTACGTCGGCCATGTCCCTCTACAGGGGGGGTATTCCAAAATAGACAAAAATAGTCTGGGGCATGTTTCCATTACTGTTGACTACTTGTCACATGTTTTGAGTCTTTGTCCCAACCATCCTGTGGTGTTGGGTCCTTGTTTTGAAGATACGGTCCCTGCGTTCCTTCTCTCTCTCTTATCCCCTCCTCCTCTGCTCCTCCTCCCTCCTCCCGTCTACCCCCCCACTTTGGCACACCCCTCAGACGTTTCGTGGCCCCGTAGGGAGCCCTACCGAAGGTCCTGGTGGGGGTGCCCGCATGCGTCCCCCCCCACCCCACCCACACAGTACAGCGCTTCGTGGCCACATGGGGAGCTCCACCGAAGGCCCCAGTGGGGGATGCCCGCATGCGTCCGCCACACCCACTACAGCGCTTCGTGACCCCATGGGGGGCTCCACCGGAGGCCCCAGTGGGGGTGACCGCATGCGTCCCCCCACACACACCACAGCGCTTCATGGCCCCATAGGGAGCTCCACCAAAATTCCCATGGAGAGAGCCGCATGCCCCAGTATAGCGCTTCGTCCCAGTGAGGGTGCCCGCATGCGCCCCCCCCCACCCCACCCACACAGTACAACGCTTCGTGGCCCCATGGGGAGCTCCACCGAAGGCCTCAGTAGGGGTGCCCGCATGCGCCCCCCCCCCCAAAACAGTACAGCGCTTCGTGGCCCCATGGGGAGCTCCACCGAAGGCCCCAGTAGGGGTGCCCGCATGCGCCCCCCACACCCAGTACAGCGTTCCGTGGACTCATCGGGAATTCAACCAACCGAAAGCCCTATTGGGGGTGCCCGCATGTGCCCCCCCCACCCACTACAGCGCTGCGTGGCCCCGTAGGGAGCCCTACCGAAGGTCCCAGTGGGGGTGCCCGTATGTGCCCCCCCCCACCCAGCACAGCGCTCCGTGGCCCCATAGGGAACTCCACAGGCGGTCCCAGTAAGGGTGCCCGCATGCGCCCCCCCCAACCAGTACAGCGCTTCGTGGCCCCATGGGGGGCTCCACCGAAGGCCCCAGTGGGTGTGCCCGCATGCGTCCGCCACACCCAGTCTGTACAGCGCTTCGTGCCCCCATCGGGAGCTCTACCGAAGTCCCTGGTGGGGGTGCCCGCATGCGTCCGCCATACCCAGTACAGCGCTTCGTGGGCCCATAGGGAGCTCCACCGAAGGCCCCAGTGGGGTGCCCACATGCGTCCGCCACACCAAGTACAGCGTTTCGTGAGCCGGCCCATAAAGAGCCCCACCGAAGGTCCCAGTGGGACCGCCCGCAAGCGTCCCGCACACCCAGTACAGTATTTCGCTTCGTGGCCCTATGGGGGGCTGCACCGGAGGCTCCGGGTGGACCGCCCGCATGCGTCCGCCACACCCACTACAGCGCTTCGTGACTCCAATAGGGAGCTCCAGCGAAGGTCCCAGTGGGACCGCCCGCATGCGTCCCGCACACCCAGAACAGCGCTTCGCCGCCCCTATAGGAAGCTCCACCGAACGCCCCAGTGGCACCGCTGCGCCCCCCCCACCAAGCACAGCCCTTCGTGGCCCCGTAGGGAGCTCCAGCGAAGGTCCCAGTGGGACCGCCCGCATGCGCCCCCCCCACCCAGCACAGCGCTTCGTGGCCCCATAGGGGGCCTGCACCGAAGGCCCCAGTGGCACCGCCCGCATGCGTCCACCACACGCAGTACAACGCGTCGTGGCCCCACAAGGCACACCGAAGGCTCCAGTGGGACCGCTCGCATGCGTCCCCCCGCCCAGTACGGCACGCCCCATCACGCGTTGCGTGGCCTACCGGAAGCGGCACCCAAAACGCGCTGTTCACAACTACATATGGTCGGGTCCTTCGCCAGGATAATTTATTTGTCGTCCAACAATCCGCCTGCAGGAGGACATGCCCGACCTAATGCTATCCGAACGCCGCGATCGTTCAGGGCTGAACGATCCCCGCGCGACGTCCGAGAGCAGCGCCGACTTCGATGCGGCAGGAGCCTGCCGTGCAAGGGGGGGGCAGGGGGAAGGAGGGATGCCCAGCGCCGACGTTCGAGGATGAGCGCCGCCAGTGACCCAGAGCCCGCTGACATCGAACGGTCCCTGCTATCCGAAATCCGCGATCATTCAGGGCTGAACGATCCCCACGCGATGCCAGAGCTCAGCGCCGACTTCGCTGCGGCACAGTGCTGCCGTGCAAAAGGGGGGAGCTATAATCTGGCGACATGGAAAGATCCTGGCTGGCAGAAAGCCACGATCGTTCAGGGCTGCACGATCCACGCGATGACAGAGAGCAACGCCGACTTCGTGGCGGCACGACGCTGCCGTGCAAGGGGGGGCAGAAGGAGGAAGGAGGGAGCCAGATGGCCAGGGCGGTCCACGAGGCGAGCCGCTCTGTGGTTTTTTGCCGACGTCTGCGCGTGGCACCCGCATCGGTTAATTGGCGGGATGCTGCAGCGGTGGCGAAGCTTCTGCTGAGCATGAGACGGCCCGGGGTAAGACTGCCCCGAGTGGTCCAAACATTGTGAGGAGGGAGGGGGAGGAGGGAGGAGGCGGGATAGCGACGGAGGAGGCCGAGAACATTTAGCAGACGGGGCGAGGAGGATGAGAACAAGAGCGGGGTATGCTGATGATGCTGATGATGATGATGATGATGCTGATGATGATGTTGATGATGATGATGATGTTGATGATGCTGATGATGACGCTGATGATGGTGATGATGATGATGATGGTGATGCTGATGATGATGCTGATGATGGTGATGTTGATGATGATGATGATGCTGATGATGGTGATGATGATGATGCTGATGATGGTGATGATGATGATGATGATGATGGTGATTTTGATGATGATATGATGATGATGATGATGATGATGATGAGGAGGAGGAGGAGGAGGAGAGGAGGAGGAGGAGGAGGAGGAGTTGGAGAAGTTGGAGGAGGAGGAGGCAGGAGGAGGCAGGAGGGGCTAGATTAGGATGAGGGTTGGGGGAGCAGGAATAGGCTGAGGTGGAAGGAGGAACATACGCAGGGACAGGGGATTGGATGAGGGTGCGGAGGAGGAGTGCGGAGCCAGAGGGACTGTAGAGAGAGATGGGGACGAAGAGGAGGAGGAGGAGCAGGAGGAGGAGGCGGAGGAGGAGGAGGGGGAGAAGGCACAGGTTCAGGGAGGGGGAGGAGGAGGAAGAGGAGGAGGAGGAGGAGGAGGAGGAGGAGGAGGAGGAGGAGGAGGAGGTGGAGGGGGAGGAGAGGGAGCAGGGAGGAGGGATGGAGAGGATGGTGAGCGGAAGCAGAAACGCGGGATGAGGAGGGTGAGGAGGAGAGAAGGACATGGAGGAGGAGGAGAAAGAGGAGGAGGAGTGCTGACCTCCCGCAGCATTCGCCCTGATCCTCATGTCGCATGCCCTCCTCCCCCCCTCCCCCTCCCACCCGCCTCCTTCTCATATGTTTCCTTATGTTTTCTTCTCCATCTCCCTCGTTATCTTCCCCTTCCTCCCCATCCTCCTCCCTCCCCGCTCGTCCTTCCTCCCCTCTCCGCCTCCTCTTCCGCGCCGCCTCATCTCTCCCTCTCGCCATCCCCCCCTCCCTCCACTCCCCTCCCGCTCCCCTGTTTCCTCCCTCCCCACGCCTCACCCTCCTCCCTCCCCTCTCCCCCCCCCCTCTGACGACGACCACGGCGGCGACGGCGCCGCCCTCTGCCGCGGTGCGGCACGGCGCGCCCAGGGCTTCGAGCCCGAGGGCAAGACCGCGCTGTCGTGCCTGCTGCAGCGCTCCACCGTGCTGCCCGGGCACCCGGAGGGCGGCGACAAGAGCGAGGCGGCGCGGCAGGGGGGGGGGCCGGAGAGCCTTCTTGACATTTCTCCTCGCTGTCTCCCGTCATCTCATCCTCCGCATCGCTGCTATTCACGATGCTATCGTTTTCGCCTCCCGCTTCCGCCTCCCGCTTCCGCCTCCCGCTTCCGCCTCCCGCTGTCGCCTCCCGCTGTCGCTTCCCGCTTGCACCTCCCGCTTTCGCCCACCGCTTTCGCCTCCCGCTTTCGCCTCCCGCTTTCGCCTCCCACTTTCGCCCCCCGCTTTCGCCTCCCGCTTTCGCCTCCCGCTTCCGCCTTCCGCTTTCTCCCATCTTGGCGTATTGTTGTCGTGAATTTGCCCCCAACCTTGTCGTCAATTTGTTTGTTCGCCTGTTGTGTTTGATGGCAGCGAAAGCGATGTTGTTGCAGACGCTGTTTACCCTGTCGCTAGGTGCTTGGGCATCCGCACCCGCGGTGCACATGCTAGCCACAAGGGACCGGACCCATCGAGCTCTCGATTGGGTGCCTTCGGGGAGACACCCAACGCGTGGGAGTCTTTTTTATATAGAAAATAGCACACTCCAGATACTGAAGTGGTTACGAAGTTGGTGCTATGGCCGTCGACCTCAGGCGCTACATCAATATAACTTCCCCCGACCAACGTCACCTGATGGTGCCCAGGTTTGGAGCGGTGACCTTGCCGTTTTGTTGTTCTTCCATGGCTCACCCTGCATCTTTGCCAGGGTGAACTTTCTGGCCAGACAGCTTGTCAAACAGAGCTGTCTGGTCGAGAGAGGCCTGCAACTCGTCAGCCGCGGGGGCCGATGAGTTGCTGCCATCGACAAACGTACTGCTAAGCGCCCGTGAGATGTACCTGTGTTGCCGCTTAGCCCAGACGCACATGAGAAGCCTGATGTCGTCCAGCGAGAGGTAGGTGCCTTGAAGATGCCCGCCGGTGCGCCACGAGGGCGGGGAGCAGGCGTCTCCCATGCGAATGCAGCGGCTGGGAGTCTCATGGAAGTGGCGCCTCACCTGCACGAGGTCCTACGGACAGCTGGCGTGGAGGGCCAGGTTCAGACACATGTCTGCGACGAGGTAGTCGAAACATTTCTGTCTGTTCAGCGTTGCTCCTGCCAGCAGAATGTGGAGATGTCGCGCGTATTCCACTCGGAGGGCGAGCTTTGTGTTGACTCGCTGATGGTAGCGTGTGGGACAGCCCCAAAGTTGGTAGGGTGCGTCCAGTGAGCTTTCGAAGATGCCAGGCTGCGGTAAGCTTGTGCTTCCCAGGCGTACCTCCAAATGGACATCACGGACAGGTGCCGTTGGTCCACGGGAAATTCGCATTCTTTTTCTCTCGAGCATGGGCTGGGAACATGAATGAACGGTTCAGCCATTTTGCCCGTCCGTTGCATGGCCTGGGAGAGATAGGAGGAGAAATAGAGGCCAACCGAATAGTGGTCAGAAAAAGAGGGAGCATGCGAACGCGGGCGGGGACTCGAGTTCTCAGTGAAGGGAGGGGCGGAGGAGGAGGAGGAGGAGGAGGAGGAGGAGGAGGAGGAGGAGGA